GGGGAAAACGGCCTAGAACAGTGTGTTCAAGAAAAAAGCTAGCCAAAAAACTAGATCAGACACTTCTAGAGTCACTCCAATGATCTCCCCAATTAGTACCCCAGCCCCAACCGCTCTCCCGAGACTCTTGGAGGACTTCCGCTGCCGCCCAGTCTGTGCCTTCGGAAAGCTGATGTAGCCTCCTCCGAGCGAGGTGTCCAAAACTACATTCCAAGTTTCTTTTCCCATAATATCCTCTCTACTGGGTTCTAACTTAGGAAATGGCACCACTGCCCTGACTGATGTGGCTCAGTTGGTTAGAACACTGTGCTGATACGCCAAGATTGCAGGTTCGATCCCCGGTCAGGACACAAGAGGTGACCAATGAATGTCCCTTGAAGAGGAACAATGAACCGATGTCTGTCTCTGCCTCTCTCTCAAATTAATAAAAAACGTTTTAAATAAAAATAAAGTAGGCCCCTACCCTGAGTGACTCACTTACCTTACTTCTTTTCAAAGGATTTACCACTACCTGAAACTGCCTTTTCTGTTTACTCGTATCGGGTCTAATTCACCCACTTAGAAAGGAACTTCCCAGACACACAGGCCACACATCTGTAATGTCACCGACTGGAAAACAAAGGAGCCCTCTGACGACCCTGGGAGGCAGGTACTGTCATTACCCCCTTTCACCTACAAGGGGACTGAAGCTCAGGGCAGGCAGGCAGCTTAGGTCACACCACAGGGGTCTGAGTCCAGCTGTGCCTCGCACGCCTGCTCGATGCCACCACAGCAGTTAGTGGAACCCTCTCTTTTCCCCCCAGCACAGCATCTCCTGAATGTGTCAGCCCTTTGGCCTCTGCCACAATCGCCTTGGTACTGGACGACTGCAGCAGGGTCCTTCCCGGTCTCTCTGCCCATCCACACTCCAGGTCTTTCCCCGCCCTCCATCCACGGTCATTCAGTTTTGTATTTTATTCTTATTCTATTGCACTGGCAAAGCAAGGAATCCAAACTGCAGAGAACTGTGCTTTGCCAGTGTCTGCCAGACAGAACTGGGATCCAGGTTCTCCTCCCCTCTGCGTCCCAGGGCATCCAGAGTGACTCCGCTCCTCTGCAAGATCCACGAGGGTCTTCACGCCCAGCCACCCACCTCCCTTTACCGCCTCACCGCCTGCCAAGTACTCATGGAGTCAACAAACACCGCGGACCTACCAAATACCAGACACTGTTACAGGCATTTGGGATACATCTGTGAACGAGCAGAAAGCAAAAAATCTCTGCTCTTGTGGCACTTATATTATTTTTTCTCTTTTCAAGGGGGAATGAGTAGGTGGGAGGAAATGGAGACAAACAATAAACACAGTAAGTTAATTATAGAGAAAGTTAGACTGTATCAAGTGCTATAAAGAAGAAAACAGCAAAGGAAGCGAGATCAGAGTTTTGGTTGCTGGGTTATTAAACAGCACAGTCAGGGCAGGCCTCCCTGTGCAGGTAACAATGGAGCAAAGACTTGAACTTCCCCTTCTACAAGCCATAACTCTGCATACACTGTTTCTCACGCTGTTTCTCCGTCGGGAAAACCTGCCTCTATACAATCCTTGAAACCAGCTTGGATCTGACCTCCTCTCTAAAGCCTTTTCCAGTGTTCCCAAACTACTTAATTCATCTTTCTGTAAAACCTTTCCTGTACACTCCCCTCCTACTCACGTGAGTCTGAATTTATGAACAGAACCCTTGGAGGCAGAGTCTTGCCTCATGTTTGTGAGAGAAGTACTCAGCCCAGTGCTTCCTCTGTACACAGCAGATGACCAATAAGCAGCTACCGACTCATGTACAAGCAAGGTGTTTGGGGCTGACTCTAGAAACGTGCTCTGGGTCTCCACGGCATGGAGAAGACGGTGATGCTCTGACTGGAAGTCCAAGCTCTCCTGATAGCTAGCCACTCACCTGCTTGATGATGTAAGTCAGCTCCTCAATTTCCACCGCCTTATCATCGAAGAGGGACTTCCGCTTTGCCACTGCAGAGATAAATGACAGGTCATGGCAGGAGACGCTGAAGACAAGGATCAGGGAGGACGGTTCCTCCGCCCTCTCTGGTTCACTGCTCCACCTTCGAAACACCCCAAGAACACTCACAGATCGTCAGCTTCTCCAGCTTGGCAAAGGTGTTGCTGAGGTCTTTCCCAATGCGCCTGCAAGCAAGCAACAGTAACAACACTGTGGGAAAGGCCAGGAGAGGGCCTATTCCCGCGCTAGCTCCAGCACAACAAATCCCAGCCCCCACAGCCAAGGTCACCACAGGCAAGCCCGCTTCTCCCCAGACACTGCATCAGCCCACCACGCAACTCCTTGAAACTCACTTGGCCATGAGGGTGAATTCACTGCGCTGCCGAACAGCACGCAGAGCTGGTTTGTTTGTCTGTATTCCATTCTGAAAAGCAACGTCAAGAGGTGAAACTTCCATCCCTTCCGCCCCATTACCAGCTTTCACTGTTCTCGGGTGTCCACTAAACTCTCTAGTACCATTGGTGTCCTCCACCAGACAGTCTAATTTTAGTAGTAGCAGTAGTAGTGGTTGTTGTTCAGAGCCCAAATTTGAAGACAAGGTGACCTGGGTTCAAATCTTGACTATATCACTTACCCGCTGGGGAGTTTGGGGCAAGTTACTTAAAGTATAAGGAATCTCTATTTCCTCCTCTACAAAATGAAGACAATCCACACACCTCCTACGGTTGCTGGAAGATTAAGAACAAGGATTACACAGTGTTTTAGCCAGAAAGCTGGTACACGGTGAACACTAAATGAACGGCAGCTCATGTTACCGTTCTGTTCTTCCACAGGGAATTAAAGAGAGCTGGAAAGCTCTGCAGATCATATAGAAGAGTGGTTAACAAGAGGTGAACAGGAAAAATATTCAAAATTACAGACACTCAGGTCCTACTTAGATTCAGATCTGGATCAAGACAAGGAAATGCAATTTTTAAATCAGCACTCCAATTCTGATAAAGATTATAGCCCTGGCTGGTGTGGCTCAGTGGCCTGCGAGCCAAAAGGTCTAGGTCAACATCCAGTCAGGGCACATTCTCGGGGTTGTGGCTGGGTCCCCAGTTTGGAGGTGTGTGAGAGGCAACAGACTGATATGTGTATCTCTCACATATCCATGTTTCTCTCCCTCTCTTCCCCTCTCTAAAAATGAATAAATAAAGTCTCTTAAAAAATAAAAAGATTGCAAATCTATCTACAGTAGAAAATTCCCTTCGCTGAGGCATCCCTTCACTCAGATATAAAAACTGAGGCCCAACTAACTTCCCTGCGGTCGCACTGCAAACTAGGGGTAGAAGTGTACTGGAACTAAAATTCAAAGTTCTTTCTCTAGGCTAAAGGCTTTTTCTAGGACCTGTTCCTTATCCAAGCCAAATATATCGCAGCCACCTCTCATCCTGAGATATTCCTTCAGGAACAGCAGCCCTACCTTCCAGGGAATTCCTCACACACAAAAAAGTACATTTGCCTCTAGGTAGTTAGCTAGCCCACCTCTTAGATCCTACCGCGCCCTCCAAGCCTAATCAGTTCTCTATCAGAGTCAATGATGTCAATCAACAGTACTGGGACACAACAGCCTCTCCCAGATCCGAGTAAAGCTCACCCCTGCCTTTCCCACTCCTGGTCCTTACCTGACGGCTCTGCAGGGATTTGCAGGCAGACAGGAACTCCTGAGTCCGATCCCGGCAGGACATGGTGTCGGGAGGGGGAGGGACCAGGGTCACTGGGGTGGGCAGAGGGGCGATGTCGCTGCTGCTACTGCCAGCAGTTGCAGGGGACAGGACTTGTGTCTTTGAGAGACCCAGGTAGACACCCTGATCCGTGTTCTTAGACCCGTAGCGTTTCCGCGGGATCATTGAGACGCATAACCTCGGACTGATGTGGAGGGGAGAGTGTCATTCCCCCGGCCTCTTCCCCACAAATTTCCCCCAACCAGCAAATTCTTGAGCCCCAAAGCCACCCACAGACCCTGGGGCCGGACGGCAACAAGCAGGGCCCTACTTCCTTTTCAGGCTAAGCCATTCCCCTCCTCACTCTTCTTCCAACTTGGCTCGGGCAGCCAGAGAGAGGGTCGGGGGCCAAAGCAGAGACTGGGCCAAAGGCCAGTCCCGTGGTCCCAAGGCTCCAGCCCGGCCTGTGCAACTGCCCCAGGCTGTAACTAGGCCCTCTTGGACCCACGGGTTCCTCGGACTCATCGGGGAGAAATAAATGATAACGGACCTTCTGAGGGGGCACACACTTCGGTGGGAGGAGGGGGGAAAAAAAAACCTCTGGGTGTTTATTTGAAACAGGAAGTCCCACCCCCCTCAAGCCCCACCTCCTAGGGGACTGCAACTACTGATTAGCTAGTGCCGACGTCTGTCTCAATACAGGCTTCCCTGATTGGATACCGAGGTATTCGCTCATCGCGAGCCGGGCGGCAGGACTTGTCCGCCCGCCTCTGATTCCCTTCCCCCCCCCTTCCCGTGGCCGCCGCCGAAAAGCCGCTGTCCCGGGCTGACACAGCTGCCAGACCACTCTTAGAGTAAGCCCTACCTCCTCCGTCGCCTGCCGCCTGCCGCCGCCGCTACCACAATCTCCTGGGTCGTCACCGCCTCTTCCCCTGGCGCGGAAGCCTCGGAAACTCGACCGAAAACTAGAGGCCGCCACGTCACCTACATATAACCCCACCCCCGGTGACTGGAGGATGGTACCACCCCTTTTCGAGCCCGGCAACCGGCAAGACACGCCCCACACCCAAATACAAGGACTCCACTCTTCCATTGGCTAGACCGGAGCTGTGATCCCGCCCCCTAGGAATAGAGCCCTGGCCCACCCGGCTCAACCAGCCTCAGGAGAGGAGCCTTAAAGAGACCGAAGTCCAGCTGGGGCTAGCGCCCAGTGCGGGCAGAGTGGCAAGAGGCACAAACGCTCCGGCGTACACGTTAGAAACTTTATTCTCTGGAGGCTAGGGAGGACTGAGAGCAGGGCTGGGATCACCCCTTCTCCGGCTCCTCCAGGATTCCCCCCGGGCTGCTCCCAAGCCTTTGACTCTGGCCTGATTGCCTCTTTGACCGCGAGCCTCGACGGCTGAATAGGGATAGCCGTCGCCACAGCACGGTGATCAAAAGGCTTTCGTTAGACTTGCGATTGCGTTGGTCCTGCGAGGTCACATCGGCCCCTTCGGTGTCTGTGAGGGTGACGAGGCCGCTAAGCGCTGCTCTCCCCTTCCCCACCCAACCTCCTGACCCCCCCCCGCCCATTCCTGGGGACCCCAGGTGTATCTATGTTCCCACCTTCCCCCTTCCCCGGACACCTCAGGTGAACTGTATTCCCACCTTCCCCGACGTCCTCCGATTCGGCCTCCTGGGCCTGCCCACCGATGTTAAAGTCCTTGTCCTGGCAGCAGCCCATGGCCCACGCTGCCCAGCACTCCGTGCCACCCACTCCAGTCCACCTGGCTCCCACCAGGCTTTTGTGACGTCAGATATCCCACCGCCCCAGCTCAGAGAGCAGCGACCCCTTTAGTTTCTCCCATCACAAAAGGCTCAGGGTCATTATGGGTGTCAGCCGTTTATTTACAAAATGAGCTCAGGCTTTTCAGGGGCTGGTGGAGCCAGGCCGCTTCTTTTTTTTCCGTCTGGTTTGGAAAGCCCCTGGGGTCTGCTCCAAATCAGGGAGCTTCCGCTTGGCAGCTGCTTCCAAAGAAGCCCAAAGTTCATCTGCCTCTGTGTCTTCTGGGGATAACTTACTGGGCTCTTGAGGCTCTTGCGGTTCATCCTGGTGAGTAGAGAAAAGCCTAGGAGTCAGGGACACAGTAACAGGCCCACAGGGAAGGAGGCTGGACCTGGGAAATCACCTTTCCAAGTACCACCACTTCTATCGCCTGCTCTGGGAAACATTCCCCATCCACTTCCTGTGTCACCCATGGCAGTGACCCCGGCAGGACTATAACTATTGACACTCCTCAGGAAAATTGAGTGATGTGGCAGAGAGAGACGGAGAGTTCCAGGTCTGTGTTCCAGCTGTTTCCTTTTTCTTCCCTCAGGGAAATAAATCCTCACATCTTATGCCCTTGGTTCCCACCTTCCCAGACCCACTGCTTACCTCCCAGTTATCCCTGCCTGATAAGAGAAGGCAGTTCAGTTGAGACTTGAGATAAACCTGCAAGAGATGAGGGGCCTTAGGGAGCCAAACATGCTAAAATATACAGAACAGGAATGGGGGCACAGGAGGCAGCAGGCTCTCACCTTGTGCTCCAGGCCTCGTGGATTCTGGATCCTGTGTACTCTCAAGATTCTGTCCAAGCCACAGGAGGCTAGTAGCGGCTTTGAAGGGTGGCACTGCAACCCTCGGACACTGCCTGCCAGCCCCTTCAGACAGCCCAGTAGGCGCCCTGGGGAAGAGGGCAGGCATCAGCGCCAGCTGGACAGCCACTGGCCAGGACTGTGTGTTTACTGTTCAAATCACATTTCACTACTTCATCCTCAACATAATGCTGAGATGGGAGCTACCATTACACCTCCATTTCACAGGTGAAGAAACTAAGGCACAGGGAGTTAATTTGCCTGAGGTCATATAGCTTTTGAATCCACACCCTGAACCCCAACAATCTGACACCTAAATGAGGGGTCCACCACCCCACTCCTGCCTTAGAGGGAATCCTGCCCTCCCCCTCCCCCAGGGCTCCCTGGCTCACTACCTTGCCGAAGGTCGATTTCTGCCAGCTGCCCGTGAGTGTTCCCCACAATCACTGAACTAAGGAGGAGAGCAGAAGCAGGTGAGGTCAGCAGGAGTCTCCCGGAGTCCTTCCCGACCCCACTCTGCCCTGTAAACACTCACTTGCCCCCAGGAGTGAGAGTCATGGCCGTCAGTGGGTACTCCCCATAGGTGGCCTCTAGGACTGGCCGGCGCTGGGGGGAGGCTGGGTCATAAACACGGACCTGGAGGAAGACTGAGGAGTCACAAGGGTACCCTCACCCCACAAAGCCCCCCACTGTGGCTACCCCACATTTCACCCCCTCCTTTGTGTCCTGCTTTCCTATTTGTGACCCACTCTTAGGATAAACTTTCTCACTTGAAATGCACCCCTCTTGAGTGTTGGGCGTTGGGGGAGAGTTTCTTAAGAGCACACATGCACAGGGCTGAGGAGGAGCTGCTCCTCAGGTTAAGAAGAGGCAGCAGTCCTGTGGCCTGCATATGTGACCATTCTATATCCCCCTACTCCCATCTTGGGATGGATGAACAAGTCAGCCCATTGTCAGGGGTGATGAATTTTAAGCACAGAGGTTTAGCCTGAACAAGGGAGGAGAGAATAAGCCCTCATGTGTGCTTCAAGCAGAGCAAAGGAAACAGCAAACCCAGTGACCCGATCCTGCCTGAGCTCCCCAGCTGGGCCCTTTCTACAAAGCTGAGGAGCCGAGGCCAGACAGGAGTCAAACCTGGGTACTGGAGCAAATCAGAGGCTGCATGAGGACCAGAAACCCAGTTCTCTGGACACGGAGCCCCGTGTCCTCTCACGGCACTTGAACCCTGCTACTCTACCATGAAGGCAATGCTCCCTTCTCTCCTCTCCTAGTTGGCAGGGAAAGGAAGAGTTGTCATGGTCCACCAAACTCCACACTGGAATGCAGTAAAAGATGGTGATGGGGCAGGCACGGATGGGGGAGTACTCCCTCCTCTGTGAGTTCAGAGATGGAAGAATGGTGAGAGAGCCCCTGTGCCAAAGGATGGGGACGGAACCTACACAGGGAAGCTGTTTTCCTAGGAGGCTGCTGAAGCCCAGTAGTAGGTAGGGGTGGGGTGATGTCTCACCTGGTGGTACCCTGTACAGGTGACAAGCTTCTGTGACTCAGGGAGGAACTGTATGTCCTGGTCCCAGATGGGAACTCGCAGGTCAAGCCAATCATTCCGTACCTGGTGGGGTGGGAAGATTGGGGACGGGGTTGTGGGCAGCTCAGGGTGCCCCTTCCTTCAGACCTTAGTCATCAACCCCACCTGGGTCTCTGACTCATGGTCAGTGACCCCACCTCCCTGGACCCCAGACCCAGCCCCTCCCTACCCGTCACTCACGTTCTTGGCTCTGAACACAGGCTCCTCAGACCCCTGCAGGTCCCACACCTTCAAAGCATTCTCTTTCCCACCTGTGGCAACTACGTGAGGGTGTGCTGGGTCCTGGCACATCCTACACACCCCAGGGCCCACCCTTAGTTCCAGAAGCTGGAAAAAATGAGATGAGGTGGGAAATGGGCATCAGTTCCACAGTCCCTAACCCTCCTGGCCCAATGCCCTCACTCACATCTTCCCCTGGCTCCCTCCCGCCTTCCCACAACCATCAGGATCAGGGTAGGGGAGCCTCACTGGGTCAGATGTCTCCTTGTCATTGTCACCCCAGACTCGGAGAACCCCAGAGTCCACACATGTGATGAGGGTGCTGCAGGCAGGGGAAGGATAGGATACAGTTAGATCGAAGAAAAGCACGTGAAAGTGTTACCAGTCCTCTTCCTAAGGAAGTCCCCAGGTAACGAGACTGGGCAGGGTTTGACAGTTTCCGGCTTCAGTGTCTATTATCTAAATTACTTTTTTAAATTTTATTTATTGATTTTTAGAGACAGAGAGAGAAAGAAACATTAATTTGCTGTTCCACTAGTTTATGCATTCATTGGTTGATCCTTGCATGCGTCCTGCGGGGGGGGGGGATTGAACCCACCACCTTGACTTATTGGGGATGACAGTTTAACCAACTGAACTACCAGTCAGAGCCTATTATTTAATTTCTTCAACAGAGTGAACGTTTACCAGTTTCATAAGTGAGGAACCTGAAGCTCTAAGCAGTGAGCCCACTCAGCAAACGTCAGAACCAGAAATCAAGTCTGTGATCCTCCAAAGCACTGACTTTGTATTCCACACCCACATCTAGCCTGCAGGCATTTCTACATCTTAGGTCAGTCACCAGGGGTCAGAATCAGTAACTAAAAGGACTGAAATGAAACTGGCCTGGGTTTAGAATTTGGCCAAAGTCAAACAGCAGCTTCTTGTCTTGAGTTCCCTGCTCTGGGTTCTAGGGGCTAAATGTCGATCTCTCCAAGAACCCCTCCCAAGAAGCCCAAACGAGTCTTTCCCCAGCAGCTGTACAGTGGCAGCTACGCTCTTACATTTGTGCACCCTTGCCACCTTGGTTCAACGCCTGCATCACTTGCCGAGGCTGTGACAATAGTCTTCCAAATGCTCTCGCAATTCATCCTCCACATTCCTACAGGCTCACAGCTCTGACCACAGAACTGCCCCCTCAAAAACCAACAACCCCACCACCTATAAAACAAAAGTGCAGATCTCTCAGCCTGGCACCTAAAGCCCTTTACACTTAATCCCAACCTACCTTGCCCATGTTGTAGTAAAATGCTTCCTCAGCGTCAAACCCCCAGATGCTATTTATCTTCCCTGAAAGGTACCCTGTAGCTGGACACCAAACCTTGGCCTTTGCCTGAGCAGTAGCCTCTTTCTATAGTGCCCTTACCCCTTTCTCCACCTGTCAAAAATCTAACTTCTTCAAGACCTACTTCAAACGTCTTGCAGTTCGCTGCATGCATGTAACTCAGTAGGTGTTCACAGAAATGAATGAAAGAACACAAGACACAGGGTCCCTATCACCCAGCCCAGGACCGTGTCCCCCTAAGGGTTGGTCACCATTATTTGGCCGTCCTGTGTGAGCCTCAAAGGTCGTCCTAAGCGTTCATTGAGGGTGTCGGTCTTACCCGTCGACCTGGGCGAGGCCTCGAAACGTGCCCTCCCCACCAGGACAGTGCCGCTGGCCCTGGAATCTGCCCTCCTCGGTGCTGAAGTGCTTCACTGTCCTGTCTGCACAGCCCACCAGGATCTGCGGGCAGAGAACAGGATGGCAAAGAGAGCGAGGCTACGGGACCCTCAGCTCCAGAACGGCCAGAGGCTGCTCACCTGTGTCTCACCGCCCGCGCCCCAGCATAGGGCGCTCACTGCCTCCTCGCGCCGCGGCTGTCCCGCCGCCGTGAAGTTCACTGCCTGTTTGCGCTGAAGGTTCACCCCTGCGGGACGCGGGTGTCAGTCGCAACGGGGTCGCGAGCTGGCGCCCTAGCCACTTCCCGACACCCGATCCTGCCACCCACCTTTAAGGATCCCAGTCTCGGAGCCGACCCAAACGTGGTTCCAGCGTGCCCCTGCAGCAGCCATAACGGAACCTGGCAATCCACAGCCGCACTTCCGGCGCAACACTCGCGTCACCAGAGCGCGCGGAGTGGGATCCGGACCAACGCGATTTCTGGGATTTTGATGCCCAGACAGTTCGGAAGCCGGCCTGTCTGCCGCCTGCTCTCACTAGTTTCTACAACGAAAGGCAGGGACATTCATAGGGATCTGGAGAGTAACTTAGCCAATTCTAACTTGGAATAAAACACATCCTAATGGGACCGCGATGCCCCGTCGAGCCAACTGCAGTCCCTCTCCTGCTCCAAAGCATCATGGCTTTTTTTTTTTTTTCTTTTCTGTGTAAGAATACCATTGAGGATTGAGCGTGGGCCTGCGAATCAGAATACCGTGGTTAGTTCCCGGCAGGGGACTCATGAGAGGCAACGAAATCAGTACGGTGACACATGGCTTCAAACTCCAACGTAGAAGACACAAAACTAAGAAGGAAGAAGAAAATTAAACCTATTTTTAAACGAAGAGATCTTAGAACATCTTCGTTTTCAAAAGGCGAGGATAGGTCTTCACTTTAGTTTTTCTACACTGAGCTCCAGGTGAAAACAAAAGAAAGTTCAAAGAAAAGTTAACTCGAACAGCAGAGTCTGATACTTGAACACGCGTTAGATAGTAAAGTCGTCTTCTTTTTAAGAACCCCATACGTCATATTGCAGGACATCATTACGACCACCTCCTATTGGACTCCACCTCCACTAGGTTTCACAGTTAAATCAAAAAGCAGCGTAAAACTAAGATTGATAAAGTGTGCTTTAATAAAGAGCTACTCCTAAAATATCAGTCTCATTTTGAACCGAAAATTGTACCCCCCGGGAGGGGTGCACCGTTCCTGGAAGTACTGCAATACCAGGTCGATGCGTGGAGTGGACGGAGCAAGCCCCTATTCCATCTCCTATTTCCAAAAATCCATTTAATATATTGTCCTCGGATAGAGGACGTATCAGATATTAAACTGATAAGAACAGATACTACACTTGATCTTAGCCAAAAGGCCGAGAAGCGATACTGAGTACTGTTCCTCTGGGCTGGCTTACCATGATTATAGCTTTTACATTTGTGGCGACTTTAATGGCCTAATGACTGGACTTTTTTCAATAGGTGATTTTTCCCAGTATCAATTTTTATTATTTTTTATTTCAAAATAGTAGCACGTTTTTGGAAACAGACCTTAAAATAGGGTTCTTTACTGCTTTTCCTACTTGCTCACTCCTCGGTGTGTTTTGCATAAACCCGCCCTCTCAGTTTTGAACGTTTTTTAGGATTGGTGCACATAAAAGTTCTGATTTCAATGGCCACGTGGTCTCTTTTTCCCTAGACTGTACCTCCAGTCTCCCGCCCTGAAAGCTTTTTCGGAGCCACCGGGGACCGACTGGCGGTGGTCGTCAGTGGGTTGCAGGTGCGGCGAGTGTCTGTATGCCCTCTGCGGGACACGTTTGGAGCGGCCGCGGCCCGGGAGCACAGGTTTTGGAGTCCAAATTGCTGATTTGGGATCCCTGCTCGCCAGTTCCTGATTTAGATCCCGTGGGCTCCTCTCTCCTAAGTGGGGAAATCGTCACGCACGTAGTGGGTGTTTATGAGCAGTGAGGACACACATTGAAGCTTGGCCTTTAGGACTGAATTCTCCTGGCATCCGGCTCTTTGCTGTGCTCCCCCTGCTGACTTGTCACATCCGCCCCCACTCCACTTACACCTTGCTATGCACCCTTCAACAGAGGGGAAAACCTGCGCTGAGAAAGACATTTCAGAGGTTCCTGATTCTTAAATTAGGATTCAGCGGTGGGAGAAGAGGGTGGGAGAAGCGGGTGAAGCCAGCGTAGGTCCAATTTGAATGCACAGTTCTATAGGCTCAAAGCAAAGCACGGCTGTATGAAAGGGAGTATATATCAGGTGCCGTCTGAGAAGGGACTTGAGGTCCTGTTTCCTTGGAAACTATATTCATGTAAATGTGGTATGTTCTGTTGGAAACCTCCTTAACTGAAGTGCTGCAGCCGGACTGTAAGTAGAGGCCTGGGTTCTTTGTCAAAGGCACGGCTGAGAACCTTCAGGCTAGAGTAACTCATTCCATTTTCACTAATTTCAACTAGCAAATTTTCTAATAATCCAGAAGCAGTAAAACCCAGAGCCTCCAGGGAGGGGCTAAATTAAGAGTGTGGTCTGCATAATCGTGCCCCCCCCCCCCCAATTCTTACAACCTTAGAATGTGTTACCTAATGTGGGAAAAGGTACTTTGCAGACGTGGTTAAGGCTTTTGAGAAAGAGATTATCCTGGATTATCAGGTGGGCCCACTGGGATCATCACAGGGCCCTCAGGAATAGAAGGCATCAGACTCAGTATCAGAGTGATGGCGCATTAAGAAAGATTTGATGAGCCATGCAAACTGAAGATGGCAGAAGGTCATGCCTTGTGGCCTCTAGAAGCTGAAAAAGCCAAGGAAATGAATTGCCCCTGGAGCCTTGGCCCTGCTGACACAGCTTGATTTTAGCCCATTGAGACCCATTTTGGAATTCTGACTTCCATTTGTTTTGTTTTAAGCTACCGAATGTGTGGTATTTGTTACAACAGCAATAAAAAAATAATACAAGGGCAAAAACAAAATTCAGTTTCTTTCCATCTCATCCTTCTCCAAATTCTGCCAAGACTTAACCTGGGGCAAGCCACAGCCCGGGGCAGAGCAGGCTCTAGTCCTTCTGGCTAGGGCACAGCCAGCGTGAGCAGCCTGGAGCACAGATCTCTGGGTGAGCAGATCTCCAGCTGGGTGTTCACATTCAGCAGTAGCCCTGCTCTGCCTCTGAAGCAAAGGCAAGTGGGGAGTGGCTCCTTCGCTCTCGTTCTACTGCCCCCTACCGGCCTTGTCTTGCTTGGGTTCACGAGGCTGATAGGACTTGCTTCACAAGAACTTGGAAATACATGTGCTCCCTGGGAGGCCCTTTGTCCATTTCTTTATACTTATTGAGGAGGCACTCCACAATGGTAAAGAAAATCAGATGTTACCCCAGATGGAACTGCACTCCCCAGATCTGGGGTAACAGTAGCCTCCTAGAGCTAACAGCCTGGTATGATGGTTATATCCCTGGGGCTGACAGCTGACCCTCTCCTCCCCTACTCTGACGCTGGGCAATTAATCTGTTCCTTTCCTCCATTTCCTCTTCTTATCCAAGGATGCTTCTGGCACCTCCCCTCCTCGGCAGGGAAGAGGACGAGATGAGATAATGCGCAGTGGCTGATGTGTGGCTAAAATTCAACAGCTGCTTTTGGTCGTCTGTTCTGATCTTTGTAGCTTCCACACAGCATCCGTCACATGTGCCTGTGGGTTCTCTTCCCTGGTTACCAGATCAGTGTTCTGTGGGTCCTCCCTCTGCCTACAGGACCTTTCTTCTCTGCTGTTTTCCTGCCACCCCCTCCAACCCCATCCTGGCGGGGAGCCTTGTTAGATTCACTTTCAGGACCAGCCCTCCCATTCCCATGGCTATATTACTGTTGACAACTTTCAAACCTGTGGGGCTACTACTTAACGGACAAAAACAGTACTTTGTTACCTTCTTACATTGACACGAATGTGTAACTGGACTTCTGGATCTGCGGGTTCTGCATACAAAGTAAACCAATTGCAGATGGAGGCTTTTAAAAAAAAACTAGTACAGGTCTTTTTACATTTGTGCCATGAATTCATGGGGAAGGAATTCCAGCAGCCCTGGCTCCTTTCCATTGGTCCTCAGTGTGCTTCTCTGGGTAGAGCAGGCTCAAATCAAGATGGAAGCTATTTTTAAAAAGCTTCATTGTTGCTGGTATATACTATTTAACAAGCCTATAGTAGTTGCATCTGCACTGAACACAGAATTGTCCGTCCCTAAACAATGCAGTAGAACTACTTACATAGCATTTTCCAGAGATGATTTGAAGCAAGTTGTGCCTAGGTCACATATGCAATTACACTTTTTAAAATTTACTTTGAGAAGGGAGACATCAATGTGGGACAGATACATCGCTTGGCTGCCTCTTGCATGGTAACCAGGACACAAAACCCAGGAACGTGTCAACTAGGAATCACACTGGTGATCTTTCAGCTCACAAGCTGGCATTCATTCAGTCCACTTCGACACACCAGCCAGGGTGCAAATACACTTTCAATAAGAGAATTGATCGTCCTTGGATTTTGATATCCTTGTGAAGCCTGGAACCAATACCCCAGGATAGAGGGATGACTATATCCTAAAACTTAAAGAGGCCCTGAATTCATATTTTGGTACCCACTCTGTCAAGTATTGGGAAATGTAAGGATGGTCCTTATCTGACAATAGAAGTGCCAGGTAGGGTGGGGGCCAGTGTGCATGTCACCAATCACTGACCTAACCGTACACACCCCCTCACACACTACCCTCCCATGCTGTGTGCCTCTGCCCTTACACTTCATCTAAACCAGAGCCAGCTTGCTCAGGGCCAATCACCGAAACACTCCCAACTGATGCAGCTCAGCTGGTCTGGCACTGTCCTGCAAAGCGGAAGGTCATTGGTTTAATTTCTGGCCAGGGCACAGGCCTGGGTGTGGGCTTAGTACCTGATCAACATTTCTCTCCTTCCTGTCCCTTCTACTTAAAAACAAAAAGTGAGAGAGTATTTGAAAGCATCGGTTATATGTGAGGACAAGCAACCCATTCGGATGAGACTAATTTCTCAAGTATCCATTTGCATTTGCTCAGTTTATGGAGAACAAGATGGATGTTCAATGCTTATTAATCACTGAACAAGTTAAGTGTTCACCCCTACTAGACACCTTAAAAACTGCACCTGGTTTAGGTAAACCACCATCGGCCAAACACACCAATCACAATGAAGATTAAATCTTTTATTTATAAAAGCTGAAATGATTATGCCCAAATTTGAACAGCCAGAGCATGTGAGAAATTGCTTGAAAATTCCTTTTTTGATGTTTTGGAAGAGTTGACATCCTACAGAGAAAAAGAAGAGTGAGTTTTCTTACTGGATGGAAAAGAATATACACAGAGTTTGAGGAGCTAACCTTTTAAACCACTGTACAACTCTGGGAGCTTTCTGTTTATTACATCAGCACTTTTACTACTAAATACCAATACATGAGCAGATACCTACCATTACATACATTTGTTCTTTCTTTAGACCTGGAAAGAACAAATTTTCAGTTAAGTGATTTACTCTTCCCTTTCCCATGTTTAGAAATCTTTATGACCCCTCAGACAGTTCCTTCTGGAACGAACTTTCCTCTTCTCCCCCAGCCAGCCCCAGTGGGTTCACCTTTACAGGCTCTGGGACTAGATCAGGAGGTAAGACATGTGACTGTTTCATCACTGGGAAATTTTAGCTCAGCCCATACTTTACATCTGAATTTACTCACCTCTGACTTCAGCATGAAGTTGAGCAGAGATATGGCTTACACACCCCCTGCAAAAGAATGATTGGAAATTAAGTCTCGACCAGCCCTAGGAACCTATTATTTGGGGGAAAGACACACCTATACACGATATATAAGGTTTCGCCACACACACGTTTTACAGGAACCAGGTAGTCCTCTAAAGAATTTCCTATTGGCTGCACGGCCTATTCAACTACCTTCCCACTGTTGATTTTCACTCCGAGGTAAGCTCACAGCTCAGAAAATACCTCTCAGTCACAATGATCAGACTGGGGCGGTATTGAACTCATCACTGGTGAGTGACCCAAACAGTACCACACACCCAACTGTGATAAATTTTATACACCGGCCATAGACTACATGTGTTGCAAAGAGATTTACCTCAAATCATTCTTTGGTTCCAAGAGAAGGCGCTGGACCTAAAACAAACAAGACTTGAGTCGGCAAGGTGTAACTCCTGCACTATAAGTTCCCACCTCAGCCAGGTCCTAGAAAATCAGATTTCCTAGTCTCAACAGCAAGTCATCAGCCGAACGAGATTCCATGTAAGTCATCATGTATACAGACCAAAGGCGGCATTTTTCTACCCAGCATGCGGCTTGCACCAACACACGTGGAAACCACTTACCTTTGAGTAGATAAGCAGATTACTGGTAACAGTGCCTAGGGAAAGACAAAGCTGTTGTTAATAACTCCTTAACAAGGTACCCCCCTCCGCTACTGGCTTCTCCAGTTTCTCAGGTGTTCAGATGTTCTCATTATATAAATCATAGTGAGCTAGTTTGATTCATCATAGAAACCGACTACTGGATGGCACAAGCCTGGCATTAATCGACTAACCTTTTTAACCTTGGAGGCTTTCCAGTAGTATACAGGATCCAGCTGCTTGCTCCTAAACCAGATCATGTAAATTAGTAAAAATATCTAACACAGCTGAAGCCATTCATAGCTGTGGTTAATGGACAGCCCCCTAAGAAAAGCTAATGCTACGCACAAGTATTTGTCGTACCTCAGACAGTTCCTTAAAGGAACAAGTTCTCATCCTCTCTCCCAGTCAGCCCCAGTGGGTTCACCATTACTGGCTCTGGGGCTAGACCAGGGTAAGACAGGATGCCTGTTCTCCTCACTGGCACTGGACTCTGAGCAAACCACAATCAAGTTACAGATACTCACCACTTCCAACTGGGCTTCAAGTTTCCAAGACTTCAACCCTGGGCGGATCAGTGAGCATCTAGGGGAGGCAAGAGAGCAATAAAATCACTGTAAAAACAAGAGAAACCAGAATGCTATATGGGTCAATCAGGGTTCTGGTAACCAAAACCAAACCCCCAAAAAAGAGCCCATGTTGCTAAGTTCTCCTTTGGATAATAGTTTCACATATGTTAATTCAGCTCAATTATTGGGAGAAGCTACTTACCGTTAAGATAGGTGAATATATTATCATCAGGACAACCTGTAAACAAGGAGCAAGTGATTACTTTAACATGTTAGAATGCGTTCAGGTTTCTTCATTTAACAGAAACTGCCATCAGAACTCTAACATGCTATTACCTGTCACACCTCACAGAGCATCAGCATAACAATTCAAATCATCTGACAGTGGCAAGTAGGTGAGGGGAAATTTACACCCTCAAAAACCAGTTGTACTACTGGGTTGTTCTCTCCCTCCCCAAGAAAGTCATTCCAAGAGAAACAAGCTGCAAGGAGATGCTGCTCCATCGACCAGTTGATCTCCTGGCTGTGGGGAACGCTGGAGAGAGAGAGGACACCCCAATCGCTCATTTGAACAGTTACCTGCAAGTCATCTTGGGAAACAGCTGAATTCCTCAGGATTGATGAGGCGATGCTAGGGACAGGAAAAAGAGAGGCATTGCAGATACCCAGTAAGTGCCACTCAAAGACCCTTAAATACTCTGGGCCCACTTCTCAGTAGAGTAAGATGACATCACTTTTAAGTTCAGTCATATGCTTGTCATTTTCTGTTCATCATGGAGTGGCCAGCCCAACTGGACGCCTCCTGGACACCGTCCCCCTACCCGCAACTGCATAACCACTGCATACCTACCTGGAGCACACCCACTGTCATCACCGACTTGCACGGGGACGGGTCCTGTGCCATCCTCCAACCCGTAAGGTCTTTTGAACTGAATCGTATCGGGGAAAAAAAAAACAAACAGCACCCTTCACTTAGTTTTAGACCTTGGAGACTGTCTCGTGTTAATGCCAGTTATACTACACAGCTAAAAACACCCAAACAATAAAGGTCCCCAAACCTTTGCGACGGGTGGTGCTACTCAGAATGTACAGTTCTCCACTAATCCATCAGAGAGAGAGAGTTCACTTTTTATCATCCCCGTAGCACCTCCCTTAGGACTTGCCCACACTCAACCACGGAGAACAGTCCAAAAGGATCGGTTCGAACACTTACTGCAACAAAGAGGGCTGCTTCCGGCTCTTCAGCGTGCACACGTGCGCCTGAAGCCTGCAAACAAGACAACAGGTCAGCCCTGGAATATTTAGCAAACGCTCTGTTCTCCGAAACAATGGCTGCTCCGGCTGTGCAAGGCCAGTCTCAGAGTTTCTTATCCTCATGGATTTCAGTACAGGTCTGTGAAAGGTCCTCATCACCGAGAGGGCCGCCGGCACCGCCCGCCACAGCCATTTTGTCCTTCACAAAGCCCTGGAGCCGCAGGAAGCCTGCAGGCCATAGTCACGCCGGCCCAGTCCCCCACCCTGAGACAGGTGCTACAAAGAGGACGGCCTAAGGGACGCCACGAGCACGCAGCCTGGGAAGCACTGAGACACGAATAACACTTACCCTGAACAGCGGAAAAACGGGACCTGAATTGCACAGCGAGACGCTTAAATACCATCTCGCAGAGACCCACGGGATTTGAGGGCGGGACTGTGGCGGGCGCACGCGCACAAGAAGAGCGCAGGCGAGCTTGGAGAATCCTGAAGAGATTCTCACACCAGGCCGCTGAGCGCGCCACCCGAGCGGCGCGAAAAAGGCGCGCATGCGCCATAGGTCAGTGCGCAGACACACCTTTGGCGCTGCGGCGGGATCTCAACCAATCGCCGGTCTCCTGGGGGACTTGGAACCTTGAGGCTTGGGGCGGCTTCTCGCGGATCCTCGACTGCTGCTGCGTTTGGGTCACAGCCGCCTGTTCCCACACCCTCCCCTGAGCTCCCCTTGCCCACACGCACCCTAAAGCCCTGTGCAGGTCCGCCTCCATGGATCCTGAACCACCCGAACCCTCGACTGTTGTCGTTTCGGTTGAGCGCCAGCCGCCCAGCGCTCAATCCGGGCCTGCTGCTCAGGGTGCCAGCGCGGGAGGTGCCTCAGGTACTAAGCCGCGGGCCGGGCCGAGCTCAAATGGAGGTTCCGGGCGTGGAGCCATCTGGGGAAGTGAATCAGGCCGTAGGGGCTCCAGTTAAGTCTGTGGCGGGTCCGATTTTTTCTTACTGGCCACCAGTGTCCTGCTGACCCGTCCGATTTTGCCAGAACCTCGGCTTGTAGTAGGGCTAACATTAGGAGCACCTAATGTTTTAAGCACACCGCATAAATTGATTAGTTCTCCCAAATCCCCAGAGGTAGGTGCAATGACTAACCCCCTTTTATAGAGAAGGGGGCCCCCACGTGTAAGCTTCTGCACAGCTGCCTACAACTCCCGCCTGATTACCAAGGTGGTTCAGTCACCGGTAGACACTTGTTACTGAGACTTACCAGCATTAGATCATCAGTCGTTTCTAGTAAACAACCTAAAGTGCCTGCACGTTGCATAAACCTTGACGAAGCTTTTTGGGCTTTTCTGTATGGCCTCACTTAATATACAGTCCTAGGAGGAAGGTACAAAGGTCGTGTTATAGATTCGGAACCTGAGACGTAGAGAGGTTAAGTAACTTGCTTGATGTTACACAGCCGAGTAATATAAGAGCCAAGGTACAAATCCAGGGAGTCCGGTGCCTGCCCTTTTGACCACTGGGCCTCACTGCCGCTGTGGCACTTAAGGTAGTCGGTCAGCCGGTGAGCAAGTGAATACCAACCCTGGGGAACAAAGGAAATCATCCCCTGGTACTGTTCTCAATCGTTTTTCATTATTGGGTAGCTCTTCACAGGAGCCTGGAAAGACATTTCCCGTCCCAGGTGGTGTGACTCGGTGGATTGAACGGTGGCCTGCAAAAGAGAGGGTCACCAGTTCGATTCCCAGTCAGGGCACATGCCTGGGTTGCGGGCCAGGTCCCCAGTACAGGGTGTGTGAAAGGCAACTACACGTTGATGTTTCTCTCCCTCTATCCCTCCCTCCCCTCCTATAAAAAAAATAAATAAATAAAATCTTTAAAAAAATACATTTCCCTTCTAATCCCCACCACCACCATGAAATTTTAATATCACTGATATTTTCTGTTCATGTATTGTGGCCCCTCGGAGGACCAGAAACCTTTTTAAAATCTAAGATTTTCCTGCCTCCCTTTCCTCTACCAAGAACCAATTTTCACCCCTTTGGGGGCAGTGTGGTCCTCATGCGCCCCAGAGTAGCCTAAGTGGCACCATACATGATATTGAAAGAATTCCCATCTGAACGAAGTTATGGATTGAAATAAATTCATTTGCTCAGTAACTATTGAGTGCTTGATCAAGTACATGATTGAAAATTTGTAACAAAATGTGTAGAAAATGAGGCAGATAAACTATGGAAAATCCAGAAGCCCCCGAGTTGGCAGATGGGGTTCGGGAGGTTGAATCTGGGAATGGGAATTAGAAACTCTTTATGGAGTGTTGAGCCTTACAGGGTAGATAAACAGACCCAAGGAGGAAATTTCAGTTGAGTACAGGCTTGGAGCTGGAAAAGGAAGAAAGTGTATGAATATAATTCATGAAAGGTGAGCTGAAGGGCATAGTAGAGTATGAAACTGGGCCCTGGCTGGTGTGATTCAATGGATGGAGCACCTGCTTGTGAACCAGAGGGTCTCCAGTTAGATTCCAGTTAGATTCCACATGCCCGGCTTGTGGGCCAGGTCCCCAGTGAGGGCATGTGAGAAGCAACCACACGATGATGCTTCTCTCCCTCTTTTTCTCCCTTTCCCTCTCTTAAAATAAAAAAATAAATAATCTTTTTAAAAAGAATATAAAATCAGGAAAGATTTCCTGGGGAAGGCCAGATGAGAAGGGCCTGGAATGCAAAGCAAAAATAATTGAATTGTAGATAGTGAGAAGAAAGCCAGTGAAAGTTTTTGAGCAGGCTGATGATAAGAAGTTAAGGAATAAGATGGAGACAAGGACCTTAATTAGATTGTCTCAGTAGTTTAGGCTACAAGCAGGAATATTCTGTCCTAACAAGTGTAAAGGCAGTGGGAACGGAAAGGAGAGGATTTAAGTCAGGGGTCTCCCTCTACCTCACCCATCTACAAAATCGGAAGTAACACAGATGAAGGGTATGAACCGGGTGCGGGGACTCTGGAGGACCGAGGCAGACCTCGCTGAGCTCCAGCCGATTGTTGCCTTGCCAGAATATTGCCCCTGTAAAAAACAATCTGACCAAGATTCCAGAAATCCAAAATTGTGTATTAGTGAGTCCATTTTAAAAAGATTTTTAAAATTTGTTTTTAGAGAGAGGGGAGGGGGAAAGAGAGGGAGAGAAACATGGATGTCTGAGGGCTACATTGATCAGTTGCCTCTCACACGCTCCCAACCAGGGACCTGGCTCCCAACCCAGGCATGTGCACCAACTGGGAATGAAACTGGTGACCTTTTGGTTTGTAAGTTGGCAAACTCAATCTACTGAGCCACACACACCAGCTAGGACTTATTTGTTGTTTGTTTTTTTAAGATTTTATTTATTTATCTTTAGAGGAGAAGGGAAGGAGAGAGGGAGAGAAACATTAATGTATGGTTGCGTTTGTGCCTCCCCTGCTGGGAACTGGCCTGCAGGGAACCTGCCTGCAACCTGGGCATGTGCCCTGACTGGGAATCGAACCGTGATTGTCTGGTGTTTTGTTTTGTTTTTAAGATTTTATTTATTTATTTATAGAGAGAAAAGAAGGGAGGAAGAAAGAAACATCAGTGCGTGGTTGCCTTTCAAGTGGCCCCCACTGAGGACCTTGTGCACAACCCAGGCATGTGCCCTGACTGGGAATCAAACTGGTGACCTTTTGGTTTGCAGCCCATGTTCAGTCCACTGAGCTACACCAGCCAGGGCTATTTGTCCGTTTTAAGTGTTGGCTTCTAACTTCAAATTTTCAGCACATTCTGTGACAATCAAAATATGCCAAAGGTGGTCATGACTGAGTTTGCAACCTCTTGTGTAGTGACATAGAATCCACCAGAAAAGGGGAATGTCAAAAACAGGATGCTCTTTTTGGAAGCTATAAAGGAGTTGAAGGAGATAAGCACCCCCCCAAAAAAAAGACCAATGTTCTTGGCAGTTGGAGTTTACAGGTGACTTTCATTTAACATTTATTCTACCAATATTTATTGGTGGAGCACCTACTAAGCACAGGGAACAAATATAGTAGTTCCCTACTACACCAGGGGACAAAGCAGACAGCCCCTTTATGTTCTCTTGAAGTTTATATTATGGTGGATAGAGAAACGAGTAATACGTCAAGTGGGATTAAGTGCTCTGATAAAAACTAAGCAGGTTGGGAGAGAGGGATTGCCGGAGCAGAAGGCAGTGCATGGTCATTTCACTCAGAGAGGGCTTCTCTGATAAGGTCGATGCTTGTGCAGCCTCCAAAGGGGCAGGGGAGCCCTGTGGGGTGGAGTGCTTCATGTCAAAGGATATGAGTGTTCTGTGCTTATTGTTTTGTACGTAAAGTTCCAGGTTGTGGTGAGGATTTTTAAAACAAACCTGGGGACATTTTATACACGTCAAGGAGAGATTTAAGTTTGGTGAAAATGCGAGTTTCGTTATCCATCCAGTTAAGTGAATGTGGAACATTTTCTTCTTTGAATAAGATAGAAAGGGGCCCTGGCTGGTGTGGCTCAGTGGGTTGAGTGCCAGCCGGCAAACTAAAGGGTTGGGTCACTGGTTCGATTCCCAGTCTAGGGCACATGCCTGGGTTTCGGGCCAGGTCCCTAGTTGGGGGTGTGGGAGAGGCAACCAGCTGATGTATCTCTCATGCATGTTTCTTTCCCTCTCTTTCTCCCTCCCATCCCCTCTCTCTAAAAATAAATAAATAAAATCTTTAAAAAATAAAAATAAAGAGCCCTGGCTGGTATAGCTCAGTGGATTGAGCACGGGCCTGCAAACCACACAATCACTGTTTGATTCCCAGTCAGGTCACATGCCTGGGTTGCAGGCCAGTTCCCAGCAGGGGACTCACCAGAGGCAACCACACATTAATGTTTCTCTCCCTCTCTCCTTCCCTTCCCCTCTAAAGATAAATAAAATAAAAAATAAAAAATAAAAATAAAGAAATAAAACACACAATACCTGACTATTTAGTCAGGGGCACTGACTTCTTTTCCCTTAGACTGTCAAATTAAAAAATGATAACAGTCAACACAATAGCCTTCCGGTGTGAATGCATTTAAATTATAGCTATTCTTTTGTCAGATTGGCCAAAAATATTTTTGGGTGTGTCACAGAATTTCAGTAATTAGTTTATGTCTGTCACGAGATGAAAACTGTTGGAAAGAGCTGTCTGCGGGGATGCAAACTGCTTTCAGGCATTTTTCTCCGGGAATCCTCTGCCCCCTCCTGGCAGCAGGAAGCACTGCGTGGATTAGTGGAGGAGTAGGGATGTGCCCCCACCTCTATGGCCAGAATTCAGTTTGAGAACAGAATATGCCATTGGGAAACTCTCCAAGGGAAGGAGTGGAACGATTTGGGAGAGGACCGAAAATCAGAATTTTGTAAGGAGCAGCTTTCAGGATGCTTTTGTAGCCTTGAGTAAAATTTATGGAAGCAAGGCCTGCTAGCAATCTTTTTTTAAAAAATATTTTATTTATTTATTTTTAGAGAGAGGGGAAAGGAGGGAGAAAGAAAGGGAGAGAAACACTGATCAGTTGCCGATCGCCTCTCGAAAGTCCCCAATTCGCTCCCAACTGGAAACCTGGCCTGCAACCCAGGCATGTGCCCTGACCTGGAATCGAACTGGTGACTTTTCGGTTCACAGGCTGATGATGCTCAATCCAGAGTCTCACTAGCCAGGGCCAGGGTAGGAATCTTAATTGTAAGTTGTTTCTTTGGTTTTGGGCTCAAGCTCAAGAATGATATCTGTTCTAACCATTTAACAGCTAACAAATTACCTTCCTGAGGATACTTTATCAAGGGGAATTTTTGCACAGGAAGGTTAAAAAGAAACTTGCTCCATCCATTCCACAAATCCACCTGATATTGCAGGACCTCAGGAATGGTGCGGTTCTCCCTTCTGGGGAGATGCCAGTTCAAGTGCAGGCTGTTGGCATTCCACTGTATCTTTCAGTTTTGCGGGGGACATGTAAGCGGAATCTGCTACTTCCCCTTTTTCTTTAGTGCTATATTTTTGACGTTTTGCCTGCCTTTAAGATTTAGTCATTTATAGTGTTCTCTTTAGAAATTTTCTACAAATTATTTTGTCCACTAGCGATAGAACCTTTTTCAGATGTCCTAATTTTTACCGCCGTGAGCAGGGCTGCAGCGAAACCGTCTGGCTGCGCCTGCGCGGATGCGGGAGAGCTTCTCTGGGGTAGGAGTCCCGGTGAAGCGCTGCTGGGTAACTGCTGTATTTTCAATGCCACCGCTGCTGACATGGCTCACCTGGAGTGGTTGTTTCACTTTAGGTTGCCACTTATACAATTTCTAATCGTTGTCATCACTTGGTTAGTCAGATTTTCTAAAAATTGATTTTGAGAAAGAGTAAGAGAGAGAGAGAGATTGATGTGTTGTTCCACTTATTTACGCATTCACTGGTTGCTTCTCATATGTGCCCTGACTGGGGATTGAACCTGCAACCTGGGCGTATGGGGGACGATGCTCTAACCAACTCAGCTAGCTGTCCAGAGTTAGTCAGATGTTGTTTTTTTTTTTAAGATTTTATTTATTTATCTTTAGAGGGGAAGGGAAGGAGAGAGGGAGAGAAACATCAATGTAGGGTTGCCTTTTGTGCATCCCCTGCTGGGAACTGGCCTGCAGGGAATTGGCCTGCAACCCAGGCATGTGCCCTGACTGGGAATCGAACTGCGATTGTCTGGTTCGCAGGCCCGCGCTCAATCCACTGAGCTACACCAGCCAGGGCAGATGTTTTAATATTGCCAATCTGATGGACGTGAAATTATATTTTCTTATTATTTTAATTTATGTGGGGGTGACTTTTCCCACAAGCCCCCCCCCCCCCGGCACAGGTGAAAGTAAACACTTCTAAGACATGATCTGCTTGGAGAGGAGAGGTGGCCAGTTTCTCTGAGGTAAAAGGCTTCGAGCTCCTTCCTCCAGGGGCTTTTATTGGGTTGTAATACACAGGAATGCAGAGTGGCAAGGATCAAACAGTAGGTAACATTTCAAAGAATCTGAGATCTTAGTTTGAGTCAGAGTCTGTCAGGAAAGGAGTTGCAGAGACTTTAGGGTTTCCTGCTCAGACCCTTAACATATGAATGAAAACACTCAGCAAAGCAGGTTTCACAGGATTTTTAGGAATTTTTTGTGATGCCAGATGTTTCCCCTGATCTGCTCTAGCAAGGCAAGGAGCTGCACCCCTCCTTATCAGGTTTTCAGGCTTACGTGGACTAGAGCCAGGAAGCGCTTCTCCCAGAGGACACGGGGACTCGGGCTGTATTACCTAGCTGGCGGGCAAGGGTCTATTGCTCACTCTTTGTTGTAGTCCTTCCATGATGGCCTCCCAAGTGATCGAATCTGGCTCAGGTTGCTCCTCCTCTGAGGGGTCTTACCCATCCCTGACTTCCGACCATACTTTGGGGGCAGGGGGGAAACCGAGGCAGCATTCGCTACCAGAGACAAGTTTTGTCTCCTGTGGCTTGCATTCCGAAGGTCGCTCACTTATCCTTAGCCGTGGGGAGTAGTTACAATTCCTGAGACCAGGCAGAGTGGTTCCCAACAACTTTACATTTTTCCTGATTACTAATGTGGTTATGTAATCTTTCAAGAACCCACTGGCCATTCTTTTGTGTACCCAACATCTATTTTTCAAATGGCTGAACTGCTCAAGGCTGATGGGTGTTTTAGAGGCAGAGCCTGCCTGAATGCTTTCTTTCTGGGTCTTTGGAATAGTGCCCTGGGCTTTGGCAGAGTTTCAGGGTCTGTTGGATGGGGACAGTCTCCTAAGTTTCTATCTTTGCTCTTGCTTTGAAAATCTTTTTTTTACACTTTGGGGGGAAAATAACATCTTTATCTTTTGGCCAAGATCAAGTAATCCTCATGTGTTGGGAAACATAAGGTGAATTTTTGCAACACAGGATTAGAAAGAACTTTCTCTGCACACCTGGCCCCTCTGCATTTCCCCACCTGCACCTGTGGGCCTGAGTGTGAAGTGTGGAGCCCTCGCGGTGCACCTGGTCCTTACTGGCCTCTGGGCTGTTGAACTGCTTTGCTCTGCTCTGTCTCAATTTCTCCTGAAGGCTCCATTCTTTTTGACAAATGATATACTTTGCATTCCTATATTAAATTTTATATTTACCAACATACATTGTAGGATCTGAGGCTCTCTAGCTGCCTCTGCCTCTCTCTCTAAGTTGCTTTTCTGCCCTCCCCCTCCCCCAGATTTAGTACTTAGTTTCACCTTGGTGAACAGTGAGTAACACGTGTTGGGTTTTTTTGCTGCAGGAACAGCTTCATCTGTGTAAGGTAGAGTGTCATTAAATTCCTTTTCACTTTGATCTCTTTGTCTTCAATACTACTTTTGTTGAACTGAGTCTAAGAAGGGATTACTGGGCTTGACTGATACAGTTCATCCACTCATTTACCCACGGAGGCCTGCTCTGTGCTCCCTGTGAGCAGGAGGTCCATTGACAAAGAGCATGAGGTCCTTGCTACTTGTCTTTGGAAGTGCAAACAGACACTCAGGCAAGAAAGTGTAATAAACACCCTGGCCGTGCATTGTAGCAGAGGTAGGTGCACAACGGATGGACAGTAATTCTTTGGGGGAGAAAAACTGCCATCGGAGTTAAGTCTTGAATGAACAGGAGCTCATTCAGCAGAGTGGAGAATAGCAAGGGCAAACACACAGATGGAATGGCGTGAACAAAGATGCAGAGGCCTCGGAAAGTCAAGTGTGCTGTGAATGGTGGGTGTTTGAAGGCTGATGTGGCTGGAGAGTGGTCCATGTGGGAGGTGTGGGAGATGATAATCAGGGAGGTAAGTTGTCCGCTTTTTTGTCTCATGCAAAAGGGATTGGCTTTATCTCCTGGGAGCTACCAGGGCTGTGAGTGAATGCTTGTGTCCTTGTGGGTGTTCCTTGGGATGATCTGAACAAGAGCTTCTGACCCCACAGTTTCAACCTTGAGCTTTCATGCTGGGGATAAAGTCTGTTCAGAGCCGCTGGTTGGAACTTAACTGCACATTCAGGGCACCTTGGACTTATCTTTGAACACTGGTCGGAACTCCAACCTCTACCCACTTGCCTGCCTTGGAAGTCACGCTGCTTTCCCAGCGTGGGGGTGGGGTAAAGGCCTGGGGATGGAGAAGGGGATGGCAGAGGACAAGCTGAGCCACTCACACCTTTGGCTCCACTACTTGTCTGCTCTTTCTTCAGGTCTTGGCTTCTGCTTTCTCCCAAATACACAGCCATCTTGGCTTCCAGCCCAGGTGAGAGAGGGAGAAAGAACTTCTTTCCATCAGCTCCCCTCTGAGAATAACCCCCTTGGCACTGCTCAGGAACAAGAAGTTCCTGAGAGCATGGGCACCTCATGGTGCTGACATGAATCTTGTCTTTGCCCCAATTAGCCTCAATGCAAGGACCTCCGTGCAGGGACAGTGGGTGGTTTTCAAGGCCTCTGCAGCACCAGCTGCCTCCAACACCTGTCTTAGTGATGGGATGGGGGGGTGTGGTAAGGGGACTCTGGCACCCTGGGGAGATGGGGATAAGCAGTGGGGGACCTCTGGGCAGTGGGGAATAGTCTGACCATGGCATCTTCTGATCCGTTGTAGGGAAAAGGTGGGTGCCTCTAAGGGAGCCCCAGCCCTGGAATGCTGGCTACAGCCCGGAGGTGCCTATGAGGCTGAGTCTCTGCATGTGGAATTCCTAGCTGTCAGGTCATCCTGGCGCCAGAAACTGGAGGAGGAGGGGGAGACTGGGCGTGTCAGCACTTCCCTGTCCAAACAGAGGCATCATAAAACATCTTGGAGAAGACTGGATTAGAGTTAGTTCAATAAAGTGAAGAAAGCCAAGTATTGTAGTGGCATCTCATAAGTAATTGTTGCCTGATGAATTAACCGAACTAAACTCAGGATGAGTCTTGGAGGAATGGGAGTAACCCTGTGGGAAGCGGAGGTCTCCTCAAGTCTCAGAGGCCTAAGAGGACAAGGCCTGGTGGGGAGAGGGCAGAAGCTGAGCCTGGCTGGGTCTGAGCTGCAAATGGCCTTGAAAAGTTGGGAAGGGTAGGCAGGCAGAAGCCTGAGACCTGGGCCAGGGGAAAAATAGAGATGATGGAGTCGGGATAGTCAACAGCCTGCAGTGAGGTCTCTGAGGGGTTTCGGGACCCCCACGTTGCCATATGTCCCCTTTCGGCTCCCACCGTCCAGTGGTTGGAGTGAGTGACCTGTGGTGATCCAGGCGTGGGGGAAAAAAAAATCATGAACTCTGTCCACCTAAAGGTGGCTCCGTGCTATGGTGGCTTGTTAGCGTCCGAATCGAAGGAACTTTGGGAGTAGATAGGCTAGAGATGAGGAACTGGTCCACTAGTTGGACCACTGGACCAACAGTTCCTGACACTATTACCGGTCCACCGCTCACCGGAGCTATCAAGAAAGAATAATCTTGTAGGTACCACCTTAAAGCACAGATGGGGGGGGGGGCGGGGGGCGGAGCTACTGATCCAATTTCCTGTAGTCGCACCGCCCCATCTGAAAACCTTCAGAAGCTACAACGAGGCAAGGAGACCTTTTGGGGGCTCGGAGATCTAGACAGGCGTCCGGCCACCACCTTAACACAGACTGCATTGTGCCGCCGGTTCTGCAGGCACCATGAGCCAGGACACTGAGGTCGACATGAAGGAAGTGGAGCTGAACGAACTGGAACCCGAGAAGCAGCCGATGAACGCGGCATCCGGGGCCGCAGTGTCAGCGGTCATGGCGGGCGGCACCGAGAAGAATGGTCTGGTGAAGATCAAGGTGGCCGACGACGAAACGGATGTGGGGACAGCCAAGTTCACGGGCCTGTCTAAAGAAGAGCTGCTGAAGGTGGCAGGCAGCCCTGGCTGGGTGCGCACCCGCTGGGCGCTGCTGGTGCTCTTCTGGGTCGGCTGGCTCGGCATGCTGGCTGGGGCCGTGGTCATCATCGTGCGGGCGCCACGCTGCCGCGAGCTGCCGGAACAGAGCTGGTGGCACAAGGGCGCCCTGTACCGCATCAGCGACCTTCAGGCATTCCAGGGCCAGGATGCGGGCAACCTAGCAGGTGAGCGCGGTACACCCCCATCCCAACCCCCTGCGATGATGCTGTTTTAACTGGTCACCAACTCTGAATCGGTTCCCCAATAGACTAGGAAGGGGTCTCCATTTGACCCACTAGCGGCAGCTGCTGCACCGGACACAGCCCCTCCTTCCTTTTTCTTTGAAGAATTTTCCCCACCCCCTCTCTTTCCCGCGGCTAGTTGACTCAGCATGTAGGCCTCCTCCCGCCGCGCCTGAAGCCAGTCACAGCCTGTTTCTGAATCAACTCGGTATGCTGCTTGCATCAGCTCCTCTGAGTCCCGTGATCCAGCTTCATCCTCCCCACTTGGTCTGAGGGCGAGGAGACCACTATCCTCTAGGATCGCATCACTCCCCTCTCTCTATTTCAGGCCTGAAAGAGAATCTGCATTACCTGAGCACCCTCAAGGTGAAGGGCTTTGTGCTGGGCCCAATTCACAAGAACCAAAAAGATGACATCGATGGGACCAACTTGGAACAGATTGATCCCACTCTTGGCTCCAAGGAAGATTTGGACACTCTCCTGCAGTCGGCCAAGAAAAAGGGTGGGGGTCCTGGAGTGGGCAAGGGAGCACCTGGGAAGGGCGTGGTCTCCAGGACAGAGGACAGTCGGGATAGTATTTTTGTCTGGTTTGCCCCACGACGTACTCTAAGCTTTCCTGCGGCAGGAGCGAAGCAGCTTTGTTAGGATTCAGACTGAAGTGGTTTCGCCAGGTGGTTCGGAGACTTTGCACTTGGCTGTGCAGGCATTTCACTGTAGGCCCCCGTACCCTCATTTTTGAATGTGGGCTTGTACTAAATTGGTGCTTTTTAAGCTCGCAAAGAGTGGATCATTTGGGGAAAGCGCTTGAAGATGAACCCTTTTCTCACTTTAAAAGGATTCACTTTTTCCAAGGGTGGGGGGAGCACAGGGCCCCACAGCTGGGCCTTTCTATGCACAGGATTGACCTTCTGCCCTCAGAGATTTCAAGGCCCCTCCTTGCTCTGTTTCAATGGACTGAGATCCATCAGGGTTCAGCCCTAAGCTTCTGCAGCAAGTAAAGCAAAGGAAGGGGTTTGACTTGTATTTGTGGATTTCCTCCCGTCTCACCCCACAGTCTTCCTCACAACTGTCTCCTGCATTGTTCTAGGCCTCCGGGTCATCCTGGACCTCACTCCCAACTACAGGGGCCAGAGGTCGTGGTTCCTTCCCAGTCAGAGTGACATGGTGGCCACCAAGATGAGGGTGAGTGTGCTGGTGCTGATGGCAGGAGCAGCGGGGCTGGGGCTGGGGCTTGGTGGGTCCTTCCACGGCAAGCCCTGTGAACCCGGCCCTGCCCAGCTCAGGGCCCTTCCTGCTGGGGCGGGGCAGGCAGCCCTGTTGTTGCTTGTTCCTTTTTTGACCGCTCATTTTTCTTGCTGTTTTGAGTCTTTGAAGGTGACCATGGCAGGAAGGGAGCGACTCAGATGTTAACCTGGGTTTCTTTTCTCAGGGAGAGGAACTCTTTGTGAGTGGGAATCTGACCAGCTGGTTTCCCATTTCTTGTTCCCAGCTGTTGTTTGATGTGTTTTTGAAGTACAGCCCAGTCTGAAATCCTAGGCCCTGGGGTCTTCCTGTGTGTCCGAGACCATGCCAGTATTTTATATATGTTGTCCTCTGCACACTGAAGAACTGTCTGTGAGGACACCAAGGTTCAGAGATCTCCGTGTGACAGGGATGTGAGGTCCCAGGGGTAGCCTTATTTCTGAACTCCAACTTCCCTGGAAGGCTCAAAGTCCATATCCAACAGGCTGGGAGTCACCCAAGCTCCCAATGCCTGGGTTCTGCGACACCGACCAGCTCCGAATGGGTGGAACAAAAGCAGAGGCAGCCCTGCTTCCGGGGCAGAGCTCTGTATTCCCGGCATTTCTGTCGGCCCCAAGGGTCATCCATTTCATGAGGTAGCACATTGTTAGAGGACCCTTTAAAATTTATTAAGAAGGGGCCCTGGTTTGTTTCCTCAGTAGATTGATCCCCAGCCTGACAACCAAAAGGTCACCTGTTCAGTTCTGGTCAGGGCCCATACCTATACCTGGGTTGTGAGCCAGGTCTTCAGTTGGGACATGTGAGAGGCAACTGATTGATGTTTCTCTTGCACATTGATATTTCTCTTTCTCTCTTTCTCCTCCCTTCTCCTCTCTAAAAAGTAAATAAATAAAACTAAAAAAAATAACATAGATGCTGATTAAGAAGCTTTTTAGATGGTAACGGCATGAACAGTGGTGTGTTCCCAAAGAGCACATGGAGCAAGAACATGGGGGAAACTGAGGCAGTGGGACTGGGCCCTGGTTCTGTGCCCCACAAACACCAGGGCTTCAGGCCTGGGCCTGTTCTGCAGAGCTGGCTCTTCTCTCAAACCTGCGTCTCCCCTGCCCTGGGGGTGCACTGTCAACTCCGTCTTTCTTGGCTGTGCTCCCACTGGCCTTGCCTGCAGCCCCAGGCATCAGGACACTGGGAAAGGAGTCAGTACATTTGTCTGGGCACCTGGACTAGATTTGAGTCCCGTCTCTGCTGCTCTCTGACTGGGCCTTGGGCTTGTCTCTCTGCTTCTCTGAGACTCTTTTCTCATCTCTGAAAGGGGTATACCAGCGTTCCACACATGCTAAGTATTAAGTAAAATTCTGTTTAATAACACTCTTTCTTGGGCATTATTTGTAATGGGGAGGGGTCAGGGAGAGAAAGGCTGTATCAGAGAATCAGTGGTGGGTTATGACGGCTATGGACCAAGGCTGCACCTTTGTAACAGAGGTGGGAACATGAGACTATTCAGGTCTGTCATGCAAGGGGCTCTGCCAAGGTCTGGGGGAAGTGCATGGCAGGCACGGTTTCACGTGGGCTGGAATTTTCTGCGCCTTTGCATGACGGTGGTAATACCTTCTCTGTTCCTTTGCCCCTCTTCGCTGCAGGACGCTCTGCAGTTTTGGCTGCAGGCTGGCGTGGCCGGGTTCCAGATTCGGGATGTGGAGACTCTGGTGGTGAGTGCCTTGCGTGTGAGAGGCCAAGCCTGGATGGGAGCCGTGGGACTCTCCAGGCCCTGGTGGTCCTTGACGCTGCTTTTTGTCTTGTAGGATGGGCCATCATACTTGGCCGAGTGGCACAACATCACCAAGAACTTCAGTGAGGATAGGTGAGTGCCAGGCCCCTTGGCCCACCTTGGCTCCATTGTGGGAACCGTTGGAGGAGTGCTAGGGCCTGGGAAAGAGCAGTTGCTAGTCCATTCTTCTTTCTTGTCCAGTACCAACCCTGACCCCTGCTCTGCTGTCTGCAGGCTCCTGATTGCAGGGACTGAGTCGGCCAGTCTTGAGGAGATCCGGAGGCTGCTCAGCGTGAACAGGGACCTGTTGTTGACCAGCTCGTACCTGTCAGCCTCTGGTTTCACTGGGAAGCAGACAGAAGAGCTGGTCACCCAGTATCTGAATGCCACGGACAATCGCTGGTGCAGCTGGAGTGTGAGCACCACAGTGGTGGGAGAGGGGCGGGCCGTGCTCTGGAGCACAGGGCTGTTGGGAGACAGGGGCAGGGTGGGCTTGGGGCTCACCAGTGCGCCCGTTCTACAGCTGTCTCAGGCCGGGCTCCTGGCTTCTGTGGTGCCAGCGCACCTCCTCCGACTCTACCACCTGCTGCTCTTCACCCTGCCGGGGACCCCGGTGTTCAGCGCCGGGGATGAGATTGGCCTGAAGGCAGCGGCCCTTCCCGGACAGGTATTTGGCCTCCCCAGTGTGAGCGGGGAGGTCGTGTTTATCCAGCTGGGCGGTTCTGTGGGTTCGGGCAGACAGGCATGAGCCTGGTGGTGGCAGTGGGTTTGATGCCTGGCCATTCACCTGGTGGTGGTGGTGGTGGTGGTGGTGGTGGTGGTGGTGGTGGTGGTGGTGTGGGCTCGCTAGCTGTGTGGCTTCTCCTGTGGCCTCTCCCGTGACGCTGCATTTCTTGTAGGGTAGTTAGGGTTCAATGATGGCTCACTTCAAATACGGTGTCTGGGCCCTGTTGCTGTTCTGTGTGGACGCCCTCACTCATTTGCTCAGTCAGTCACTCACTCATTTCCCATTCATTGTGCAGCGGGCGCTCTGCCTTGCAGGCTCTGACAGTGTGGGGGGGGCCAGGTGAGTGAGACAGGTGTGTGCAGTGAGTGTTGTGACAGGGGACGACCGTGATGCACTCTCTGGGCTCTAGTCATGAGTTTGGAGGTGACCCCGTGGCTGACACAGAACCAGTCATTCGTTGATTCCACCAAGTCTCGTTGAATGAAATCGCACGTGTGGTGCACGGAGGGCTCTGCAGCGCCCAGAGGACTGGAGGCGGTGCAGTCAGACAGTCAGCAGGTGTCCTCATGAGGCCAGGTGCTGCCGAGTGGCAGGGCTTAGAGCACAGGTGTCAAGCTCATTTTCACCGGGGGCCACATCAGCCCTGTGGTTGCCTTCAGAGGCCGGGTGTAATTTCAGGACTGTATAAGTGTAACGACTCCCTGACCAGGGGCGAGGAGCTGGGCACGGCCATCCATAGAAACGGGTTTTTGGGTAAAACAAGGTGGAGGGCCAGATTCGGCCAGGGGGGCCTTGTGTTTGCCACCTCTGGCTTAGAGAATAGGCACTTGGTGGTTTCTTTCTTAGTTTTTGTTTTTTAAGATTTTATATTAGGCCCTGTGTGGATTGGTAGTGTGATTGGGGGCTTCTTCTCCCTCTAAAAATAAGGAAATTAAATTTAGAGGGGAAGGCAAGGAGAAAGAGTGGGGGAGACACCAATCAGTTGCCTCGCAGGCTCTGAACTGGGACCTGTCCTGCGACCCAGGCATGTGTCTTGGTGGGAAATGGAGCCAGAGATCCCTTGGTTTATGGGATGAGTCCCAACCCTCTGAGCCCCACCAGTCAGGGCTGGGGGTTATATTTTATGAGTGGCCACAGAAAGCCCTTTGAGACAGTGGAGCAGAGACGAGAGGGAAGTGACGGGGCTAGCTTGTGGCTGTCTGGGAGAAGAGCCCTCTTGGACAAAGGGACAGCAGGACCTGAGGCGGGAGTCTGCCCTGCTGCTTGTCCATTGGGAGTTGGGAGTGAGAGCAGAGCATGTGAGTCTGTGAGGGGAGGAGAGGTGAGGGGACGCAGACCCAGCCTTTTCCCTGTCCTGCTTTCCCTGCTCCCCAGCCAGCAAAGGCGCCAGTGATGCTGTGGGATGGATCCAGCTCCACCAACAGCTCAGGGCCTGGGAGCTCCAACATGACAGTGCAGGTAAGGGCGTGGTGGCGGGGCCTGGCCAGCTGAGGGCACCCAGGGCCCTGTAGGGGTTTGCAGCCTGGGAAGTTCTCCATCCCTTCCTGCTCTGTGTCCATGGCCTGCAGGAGCAGAGCAAGGATCCCGACTCCCTCCTCACTCTGTTCCGGCGCCTGAGTGATCTTCGGGGCAAGGAGCGTGCCCTGCTGCATGGAGACTTCCACGTCCTCTCCTCGGGGCCAGACCTCTCCTCGGGGCCAGACCTCTTCTCCTACCTCCGCCAGTGGGACCAGAACAAGCGTTTCCTGGTGGTGCTCAACTTTGGGGATGTGGCCCAAGCTGCCAGGTTGGGGGCATCTGGCCTGCCTGCCAGCGTCAGCCTGCCTGCCAGGGCCGACCTGCTGCTCAGCACTGAGCCAGGCCGTGAGGAAGGCGCCCCTGTGGAGCTGGAGCTCCTGAGCCTGAAGCCCCACGAGGGGCTGCTGCTCCACTTCCCCTACGTGGCCTGACCGGGGCCCCTTCCCTTCCTCTTCGCAGGCCCATTGGACTCTGGCTTCTCTCTCTTTCTCTGTCTCTTTTTATTTTTACTATTACAGATAACAGATGAACCCCCGATAGTGTGTGTTGTGGCTTCAAATAAAAGTCAACACTGCCTGGTGTCCCATCTTCACTGCACCCCTCTGTCTGGCAGGAATTTCTCCCCCTTCCTCCACCTGCCTGGACCTCCGCCACAGTGGTCAGAGCCCCGGCGTCTCACACGTCTGCTGCAGCCCGGAGAGCAAGGGGCCTGCCAAGCTCCTAGTGGGGAGGTTTCTGGGCTGGGGCGCCCACCGGGCCTCCTCCCGCTGGTGGGGCCCTCGGCTCTGGCTGCTCTCCAGACACATGCAGTGTGTTTCCTGTGTTTGCAGGCTCGGCCTTTCAGGGAGAGAGCGTTTTCTTTTTTTTCTTTTTTTATTTTTTTTAATTTTTTTATTGATTATGCTGTTACAGTTGTTCTATTCCCCCCCTTCCATTCCCCTCCACCCTACCCCCCCATCCCCACCATTACCCCCCCCTTTAGTTTATGTCCGTGTGTCTCGAGTTCTTTAGATTCTATATTTCCCATAGTATTCTTGCCCTCCCCTTATCTATTTTCTACCTACTTATTTTCTGTACCTTCTCCCCCCTTCTCCTCCTCCTACTCCCCTGTTGCTAACCCTCCTTGAGATCTTCATTTCTATGTTTCCACTCCGGATCTAGCTGTCCTTTTAGTTTGCTTTTGTTTTAGGTGTGGTTGTTAATAACTGTGAGTTTGTTGTCCTTTCACTGTTCATGTTTCTTTAACTTCTTTTTCTTAGATAAGTCCCTTTAACGTTTCATGTAATAAGGGCTCGGTGATGATGAACTCCTTGAATTTGATCTTATCTGAGAAGCACCTTATCTGTCCTTCCATTCTAAATGAAAGTTTTGCTGGATAGAGCAATCTTGGTTGTAGGTCTTTGGATTTCATGACTTGGAATACCTCTTTCCAGCCCCTTCTTGCCTGTAAGGTCTCTTTTGAGAAATCTGCTGACAGTCTGATGGGGACTCCTTTGTAGGTGACTGTCCCCTTAGCTCTTGCTGCTTCTAGGATTCTCTCCTTCATTTTAATTTTGGCTAATTTAATGATGATGTGCCTTGGTGTGTTCCTTCTTGGGTCCAACTTCTTTGGGACTCTCTGAGCTTCCTGGATTTCCTGGAAGTCTATTTCCTTTGCCAGATTGGGGAAATTCTCCTTTATTATTTGTTCAAGTAAGTTTTCCACTGGTGGCTGTGCCTTTCCCCCTTCTGGTACCCCTATAATTCGGATGTTGGAGCATTTAAAGATGTCCTGGAGGTTCCTAAGACTCTCCTCATTTCTTTGAATTCTTGCTTCTTGACTCTTATGTTTGGCCATTATTTGCTTTCTTCTGGTCCACTCCATTGATTTGAGTCCCAGTTTCCTTTTCATTGCTGTTGGTGTCCTGTGCAATTCCATTCATTTCAATTAGTTTCGCCTTCATATATTTGTCTAATTTGTGGCTATAATCAACCAGTTCTGTGAGGATCCTGATGACCAGTGTTTTAAACTGTGCGTCTGAGAGTTTTGCTATTTCTTCATCGCTTAGATCTATGGGCTCTGGGGCTTTGAGATCTTGCAACATTTTTGGTCTGTTCTGGCTCTTCGAGTGTGAGGAGCGGTGCCTTGGACTCCCAGGTCGCTGGGTTGTGATGCTGTATGTGGGGGAGTGGTCAGAGCGGGGAAATGGCGACCCCCCTCTGCTATTTCTCACAGCTGGGTGCGGATTAGTGTCTTAGCTGGTTCACCTGTGCCGGGCCACTCAGAGTCGCTGGGTTATGACGCTGTATGTGGAGGTGGGGACAGAGCGGGGAAATGGCGGCGCCCTCCACTGCCACTTGCGGAGGGGACCTGCCGGCCCCGGTCCAACCGCCCACTCCCTCGCCTGTCCGCCCGCGCACAAATGCGCGACCACAGTCAACACGCAGCACCGCTCCCCCGCTGTCTCCCCCGCGGTCGCTCGCCTGGTGGCTCGCTCGGTCGCTCACTAGGTCCAACCCTGCGCCTGGATTCCGCGCGTCTGGATTCCGCGCCGGAGCCCGTCTGACCGAGACCTCCTGTGCAACCCCGCTTCACCAGCCGCTGGTTTCACCCCTTACCGGTCAGGCTGAAGAATTTGTTGTTAACGGACTTCCGAAAAGTTCGATTTTCCGTGTTCTGGCTGTGTTTTCTGTTGCTAATATTTAGTTGTCCCTAAACTTGGTTGTGTGAGAAGGCACGGCACATCCACCTATGCCTCCATCTTGCCGGAAGTCCGAGAGAGCATTTTCTACAGGTACTTCCAGTGTGTCCGAGGGTCCCTTCACCCACAGGAGTCTGTGGCTCACTTGGCCCGTGTCAGGCGGTGTGCCACGTCCTGGGGTAGAGGAGGGATCAGAGGTTGGTCACCTGTGTCTCCTGGGGCTCACGTTCTGCTGAGGAGATGGATTAGAAATACGATGAATCGGCTTTAGAGTGTGGTGGGTAAGGCGATGGTGGTCAAAGAGGAAAAAGTGAAACAGGAGGAGGAGTGGGCGTTTGGGGTGAAGGGAGTTTGGGGTACGGAAGTGACATTTGAAGGAGAGGCCTGAGGTGAGGGATGGAGTTAAGGAGGCAGATCTGTGGGAAGGAGCTCTGTGGAGCCCTTCTGGTGGGGGACTGTCCGACACTGAGGGCAGAGGAGGGTGGGGCCGGGGACGCGGTCCCGTTGGCCGGGGGCGGGCAGGTGGTAAAGAGCGCCCTAAGGCCACACAGCAGGTCAGAGTTTGGCATCTGTACAGTAGCAGGGCATGGTATCCCCCACCCACCCAGTTCCCGGACTGCCCTCACTTCAGACACCAGCTTGGAGCTCATGGCTGGGCCAGTGGGTCAGTGCTGCAATGATCACAACTTGGGAAGCGCTGAGACTGCAGTTTTCGTGCAGCAAAAGAAGACAGGTTTGAACTGAATGAAGGACCAGGTGCTCAGGGCAGAGTGCACACGTGCAGCTTCTGACGGACAGCCCGGTCCCAGGGCAGTTCTGGGCACAGACCCCTTGGTGTAGAACTCGCTGGCTGGCCAGGAAGGGAAGCTCCCCCAGCCTTTGGTGTTCAGGGTTCCTGAGGGCTTACTCACCTACTGGCCCCGTGGCTGACCTTGGGTCTCTTCCCCAGAGGTGGCAGGACCTGAGGCCCTCACCCTAAGTCACATCTTCAGGCTGATGTCTGAGGTCCCTGTCCTAAGAAACACTCCCGCCAGTCAGGACATTCCAGGGCCTGGACCACACCTCCCGGCAGCTCAGGGCAAAAAGGCCAGACGTGCAGCGGGGTTGACTTCCTCCCTGCACAGCGGGTCAGGGCGGGGTGGCAGTTGGAGGGCTCTGCGCAGTGACCCCCCCTCCCCCCACACTGACTTGGGTGGTAACTGGCTCACTGGCTGCACCTGGCTGGGAGGCTGAGCAGGGTGGGTGCTGCTGCTGCTGGAAGGTCACTAGGGTGGCAGCAGAGGGACCGGGAACAGGTGTCGGGTCCCTGCATCTGTGCTGGGCCATCCCCAGGGAGTGCTGTGGGCCCCCTGGGCTGTGATAAGGGCCCTGGGGGTGCGGGCAGCCTCCCGGCTTCCTCAGGAAAAGAGCCCAGTTGCAGGGTTGGGCCTGGGCCTCTAAGGGCGTCCTGGTTCAGGAAGAAAGGAAATGGAGGCCGGGCCTTGTGGGCTCTCTGTCCGCCTCCCTCTGGCGCTGTGGCTGCGCCATGAGGCCGGTGAGCAGTCTGCCTGCACCTCGAGATGGTGTTCCAGCAACAGTCCCTGGAAGACGCCTGAGCCCCAGGCTGCCAGGGGGTCCCTTCTGCTCCCCCTCCTGCCCCTGTCTAATCCAGGCCCCTCTTCCTGAGGTGCCCACCTCTCTCCTCCTCAGGGACCTTCCCCAGGGTCCCAGCTCCAGCCTCCCCCCTTCTGCTTCCTGCTGGCCTCCCCTCTGGCCCACCGTGTGTCACATGGTCGTCGTGACCATGTACTGGTAGTTCACTGTGGACTTGGACTTGGAGAAGGAGCTGTGCTGTGACACAGATGGGACTCACCATCTCCACCCTTCGTAGTTGTGCGGTCTGGTGGCATCATAAGTGTGGGACGCACGGCCATCACCAGCCTCCACTTCTGAAGCTTTGTCACGGTGCCAAGTGGAGGCTGTGCCCAGGAGACACGAGCTCTTCCCCCATATTTGCTTTTAAAGTAGAAAACGAGTGAACTGGCAAGTCAGTGAAGACACTCAGATGTTCAGTGGTGGCGGGTGGGCTCCTGCTGCTGCCCTGACCTCTGTGCTGGGGGAACAGGGGAGAGCACTTACAAGCCCTCTGGGGGCCCTAAGAGCTGCACCCCTCAGGGCCCCTCCCTCCTCCCTAAAGCAGGAGGGTGCCAGGCCACCTGCAGGCACAGAGGCTGTGTCATTGGCCCCCAAGCACAGGTGAAGGGGGACCCTCACTGTGGAGTCAGAGGAAAGAGGCCAGAACGCCTCAGCCCAGGGCAGGCTGAGCTGCCAGCAGGGCTCCCCTGACTCGGGTGACAGGGGCCTGGCGCTCCCACGGCCAAGTCCCCTCTACCGTCCCCGAACTCACCCACCGTTTTCTCAGCCTCTTCTCTGTTCCTGGTACCATCCTCAGGTTCTGCATGTGGGTGGGCCAGACCCTCCCCTCACATAATTTCCAATCTCCATAGGATCCAAAGGACCCAAAGCTTGGAATTCGGAGCTCTGAAGGCCGTGTTAGAAAGTTGGTTTAATGAGCCCTGGCTGGTGTGGCTCCGTGGACTGAGCGCCAGCCTGGGAACCTCAGGGTCACTGGTTTGATTCCCAGTCAGGGCACATGCCTGGGTTGAGGGCCAGGTCCCCAGTAGGGGGCGTTGCAGAGACAACCACACACTGATGTTTCTCTCTCCCTTTTTCTCCTTCCCTTCCCCACTGGATAAGTAAGTAAATAAAGTCTTTGAAAGAAGATTGGTTTAATGGGACTTGCACTTTCCTTCCCCTGGATTCCAGGAGGAGGCCGAGGGCCCGAGAGCAAAGGGACCCTCCTGGACACCGGTGGAGCTGCATCTGGACCGAGGCCCCAGCTCCATGGGCCAGGCTCCCTGTGCCACTGGATGGGCC